CACTTCTCGATTACTACGTCCTGCTGTAGTGAAAATACGAGCAATTCGATGCTGGAGACGCCGCCGTACTGTGACTTCTATACTCGTGACTTGTTTGCACTCACTTCGCTGATGCTCAGGTTCAAGTCTAAGAAGTATATACGGAATAAGAGTCGCTTACCTTGGAAGTGCTATGCTAGATCCAACCATCTCACCTTTGCGCAGCCTCCGCCAGTTGATACAAGTGCCCCATCTTGCTCGGACAGCGCGCCTTCACCTTGGTTGGTCAGCAGACGCAAAAGAGCTACAATGAGGTTAGAATATTGAAATATTGAAATACAATGTGTCGGGATAGAACTTTGATTGTGTGACTAAGTGATCTGGGAGCACATGACATGTGGCGCTAGTCAAATGGTGCGATCATTGCCTTGCTTAGATGCAAAGCATGAGATAGAGCTTGTGTTTCAGGCATGGACGGGCCCAGCTCGAGCTGGCGCCCACTCTTGCTCGATCCGATGCGGACGGGGCGCGTCTTCATCCTCTCCCGTCCAGTCGACGAGATAGTCCTCGACTTGACCGAGGGCACGTCTGGAAAAGGAATTCACAGCCTTGTAGACTGCGTAGGCCGCTTTGAGTATTCCGAAGAGGATTAAGAGGACGCCTAGCACGATGATGACTGTATCCATGGCGCCACCATCTCCTCCATTTCTTCCTCGTCTGTTGCGCGCCTCGCGCCGTGCGAAATGACGACCCACGCCCCAGTTGCCAAACGGCGTGAAAAGTAGCGACATCAATACTTGCAACAGAGAGCCAGCTCCAATGACGAACAAGCCGAGCAGCACTGGACATGTAGAATTGAGCGTCGCGGTTCACGAATGAGCTACGTACGTCACCTCTGCGCGAAAGCAGTGGAGCACCACTTACTCTGTGTGACGACACGAATAGGCCAAGTCTCCTGTTTTGACAAGTCATCCATCAACTTTTCCTTGACGAGCTCTGTCGTGATGCATTCGCCTTGCTGCGCGCCCTTGCGGCTGCTTGCAGCATCGTCTTGCACTTCCGTTGGACAAAGCTTGGTGAATCGCCTTTGGTCTCCGACACTGTCCTCAAGCTGCGGTCGCTCAGCGTTCCCTATAAGAAGGGAATACCACTTGCGAGCCACAATCGGACTTGAGCTCGAAGCAGCCTGTGCATGATGGTCGGGTACGCTTGCGACAGGCTCTGTCTCTCGCGCCGAAGGCGGCGCAGGTGGAGCAGAGGAGACGGTGCTTGCAGTCCCTGGTGCATCCTCTCCATGCAGCCAAACCCACTTGAGCTCGGACCACCAACCCTGCTTCGCTGCAAGCTCGCGCTGTTCGCTGTACTTTTCTTGGGCTTTGCGCAGCTCCTTGTCGCTCTTGCCGTAATCTGGATCGGCAACACCGGTCCATGCTCCAGCCATTGCGATGAAACCCGCAGCTTCAGTGTCGTAGTCGGCCGAGAACTCGTACAGAAACTTTAAGAAGCTCCCAGCATCTTTGGCGGTGCGCTGTCGGGGATCGCCGTAGCGGAAGTGACGCAGAAGTTGGGCGTACGTCATGATGCGAGGAGACGTGTCCGATCCCGCGCCTTCGCCTCGGACATAGAAGCGTACTCCGTGCGAAGTGTCTACCATTTTGAAGTCCAGCTGTTCTCGCTCCACCTTCGCTTCGATGACGCTAGAATCGAATCTGCTATACGCCAGCTCGCAGATCACGCCCGCGCCGTAAGCCAAGATGCCGAATAACAGCATAGAGACGAGCAATACCAGACCTGGCGAGGTACCAAAGCCAACGAAGCGAGACTTTTTGAAGCGGTAAGGGGCACGGCACTGATCGCACCTCAAAGCTGAAGAGCTGCGCGGCGAGAGTCTCCTCCACTCTTCGAGGCAGCCGGCGTGGACGTACTAAGAAGTGAAAAGGATACACATGCCCGAAGTAAGCTCCGGAAATTTGTGCAGCCGAAGCTGCGGAAGAAGTTCGCTCCACACGCACCTTCATAGTCCCACTACATCGGCAGGGTGAAATGAGCCTGGTACTCAAGTTGCCTGAGTCGAAGCAGATGCGACA